TGCTGCAGGTCAGCGAGACGGGACGGGACGGCCAGCACGGCCTCCACGTCGCCCAGCAGGCGCAGCGTCTCGGCGGCCAGCATGTGGCGCTGCCAGAGCGAGTGCACGTGCGCCAGGCGGATGTCGAACTGCTGCAGGGAGGTGCCCAGGGTCTGGCGCAGCGTGCTCAGCTGGGGGGGGTGGGGAAGGGGGAGGGGTTAAGGAGGGGAATGCAACGGCGGAGTGACCCGGGCAGGCAGGGGAACACAGCGAGCATGGAGAGGCACGGCGGTGTGGTGCATGGCAGTGAGCGCCGCACCCCCTCGATGCCTGCCGGACTAGCCCCGCCACTGCAGGGGCACGCCCGCTCTCCAAAGGTACCTGGACTCGGGCATCGCTGAAGAGCTTCAGGATGTGGGAGTAATTCTGGATGGCACGGTTGAAGCCGGCGTAGTAGGTGTCCACCACGTCCGTCACCAGCGCATCCACTGCAGCACTTTGGGCCCGCAGCTGATCGTGGCGGAGGTAGTGGGGGTGTTGTGGGATGAAAGCCCTGCATGTACTACACCTTGACTGCGCATCTCGAGGCCAGTCGTGTCATGCCGAGGAATACGCCTGTCACGCAGTGCCCCACAGAGCAAAATCACCTCCACACTCACCCTGGCGAGCTCCTGCTCGGCCCGCTCATCGCTGAGGAGGGAGAGGACGTGCTTCACAGAGTCGAACCTGGGCTCCTTGAAGGATGAAGGGATGCCCTGGAGCTCGGCATCCACCGCGTCCCAGTCCACGGCAGCACGGCGGATCACATCTCCACGTCCCACCATCCTCGGGACCCTCACTTCATCCCCCGATCCCTATAATATAAAAACATAGGATTTGAGTGAGTTACGTTGTTTTATGTCCGTGACAGGGAAGGATTGCTGTGATCACTTTCCGCACATTGAGGGCCGACAAGAGCACGACGGGAAGTGGTTCCCGAGCGCAATTTCGGTTTGGAGACAGATGTGGACAGGCACGGAGAAGTCGGCATCAAACGAACGGTGATAAGTAACATATACTAGACACGTATCTTCAACGATGGACGCCAGTCTCACTCCCGATCCCGAACGCCCTCCCCCCTTGGAAGACTACCAAACACCCAGGGGGACGCCTGCCACACTCAGCTCCATAGATTCAGAGCGTTTGCGCACTGTACTCACCAGTGTACGGCTCAAGCATGGCCTCGACTACCGGTTATCCGAGGAAACAGGTAGGAGCAACAGAATGGGGGATGCAGCAAGAACCACGCGCCCACTGGCAGGCACAGCAGCTCGTGTGTAGGGAAGTACTCGGTCCTTTCACTCCGTCTATAACCTATCGAGGCCCAGGACACAGCAAGCGGACCCCCCCTGAGGTTATTCGCTTGGACTTGTCTGACGATGGAGCCGACAGTCCCGAGCACTGGCTCATTTCCGTCCCCAGGAAGGGGCCGACCAGGTGTGTGATTTCCCAGCCTGGTGGTTCATCAGCCACCAGTTCGGCAAGCATGCCTGGTATGCAAGACCTTGTTGGTTTCTCCTTATACCTATCTCGTGGTGCTCGAGCTGCCCACCATGACTTCTCTCAACCCTCGCTGCGACTCCCAGGTGGCTGATTGACAGCGGGAGTGACGAGGACGCTCCGGCAAAGGCGAGTCCTTCGTCATCCATCCCAGGCGCCACCGTCAGCGACACTCCTTCTAACGTTGACTCTGAACAGACGGTGGATGAGGATGAGGGAGTGTCAGATGATGACTGGACACCCAGCAGCCCGGAAAGCCTCCCGCCAGGAGAAAGCTGCAGCCCTTCGACCTCAAAACCTGAGCAGCACAGCCCAGCCTGGGGCCCAGACCGGGCAGTGCCCCATTCATCTGTGTTCAGCACTCCCCGGGGGCCCTGCCCCGTCATCCCCTCCGGAGCGTTCAAACGCCGTCGTGCAGAGCTGGCGGTGACCCTGTACCAGGAGTACAATGCCTTGATATTTGACAACCGCCTCCCGGCAGACCTGGCGATCACCTGGAATCCACGGCTGTCCACAACGGCCGGGCTCACCCACTACAGCCAATCCCCCGACGGGATGGGGGGCCGAACGTGCGCCAGAGTGATTGGGGTTTGGGGCTGAGGCGGTCCAGCGGGGGGGACTGGTCTACTCAAGATATTGTGGCACGCATCATGACAGATGATGGAGTAGCTCCAGAGCTGCTTCACAGAGCTTATCACTCAGGATGCTACTCCACTGCTGCAGCTTCCTCTTTTGCTATTTGGAGAGGTCCTGCAACTGGCCAGGCGTCTCCCCTTGCTGTGCAGTGTCGCTCCAGGATCTGGAAACCTACACTCCTCCTGCATGACTGCAAGACGCCCAAACACTTGCCCAGAAACTCCGCTTCAATACCCAATGACAGGTACACGGCGCGCGTAGAGCTCAGCATCAAGGTGGTGGACGGCCTGCCCAAACTGAAGCGCACGCTCTGCCACGAGCTCTGCCATGTCGCCGCCTGGCTGTTGGATCACTGTGCCAGGCCGCCGCACGGCAACGTGTGGCGAGGGTGGGCTGACCGCGCCCAGCGAGCCTACCCGGAGCTGGAGATCACCACCTGCCACTCTTACGACATCTTCTTTCCCCACCGCTGGCAGTGCACGAACGCAGAGTGCGCAGTTGATTGTGGTGGTGGTGGCCATGGGGCAGAGTAGATGAGGCTTGTTGGGCGTGGTGCACAGGTTGCCTCAGCTTCGTGCGCCCTCTCCCTGGCGTTCAACAATGCGATGACCAGCATGGACCCATGCCCCTTCCCTCCACTTCCCCCCTTTGCAACTCCACCTGCTGCCTCCAGCACCCCACCCCGGCCCCTCCCCTCCAGGTGTGGAGCCACCCTGGGGCGCCACAGTAACAGCATCGACGTCAACCGAAAGGTCTGTGGGCGTTGCAGGGCACCACTGGAGTATCTGGGCAGGTTCCAGGCGGACAACACGCCTGCCAAGCCCAGGGAAGCGACAGGCTTCAGCCTCTTCGTCAAGCAGCACTTTGCAGCAGGTGGGTGGAGCTGGACTGGGCGCGCAGGACATGCCATGAACCCAGTCCTCCTATGCTCATTCGCATATTATACCTCTCAATACAGAGAGGAAGCAGCTTCCGCCAGGAACACCTCATGGGGAGGTCATGAAGCAGCTCTCGCTGCGGTGGGGAGAGCAGCAGAGGGCCACTGCGGCTGCGTCTACTGATGCGGCAGTGCCTGCCACAGATGCTGCCTGCGATGCATTGAGGAGGCTCTTGTTGTGATTGTGGAGGGCACCAGAGATATGCATGGCGCACTTGCTGTGTGCCAAGGTCACGCTGTGCAGCAATGCATCAAACTCCTAAAGGGGGGAATGAAGACAAATTCGTGATCGCATACACGGGCGACTTCCTGGGCGCGCTCTCAAAATATACAACTCACCATGCCTCTCCCTCAATCCATTCAAGTGCCACCTGCCCTGATCGAATAGTACGAGTGGGTATCGTGGCCATTCGAGGGGCATCTTCGGCATCTTCCGGCGTTTCGGAAGCACAGGCACTGGTGCCGCGACCGGGGAATGACCACGAATTCCAAGGGCATTCTGTATGCCCTGGTGGCCCGTGGCCCCGTCATCCTCTGCGAGTACAATCTTGTGAGAGGCAATGCCCCTCTTGTTGCCTTGAACCTGCTTGAAAAGTGGGTGCCTCGCCCAGACGCCAAGGCCTCCTATGTGGCCGACAAGCATGTCTTCCACCTCCTCAGCGATGGGGAGCTCACCTACCTCTGCATGTCTGATGAGGTAAGTATGAGGTTCATGCAGTCGATCCTGGTGTGATTGGCTGTGGCATGGTGAGAGCTCAGGCAGGGATCTTCATCGGCCATGCCGCCATCTGCTCCTCCTCTCGATAGAGCTTGGGGCGGCGAGTGGCCTTTGCCTTCCTTGCTGACGTCCAGTCTACCTTCCTGGCGGCACACGGAGCCTCCACACGGTCTGCCCTCGCGTACGAGCTGAACACGGCCTTTGAGCCGGAGCTGCGCAGCCGGATGCTGCGCCTGAACGCCGACCCCCGGGCTGATGCCCTCACCAGGATACATGGTGATGTGGCGGAGCTCAAGTCCATCATGGTAGACAACATTGACAAGGTGGGTTTGGCTCATCATGAGGTTGTTTTGGGAGGCCGGAAGAGGAGGGGATCAGGAGTGGTGGTGAGGCTTTACGTCTTGGGGTGTGAAAAATTCCAGTGGTTGGATGATGACTCGGGATGGCTGCTGTGCCCCTGTGCGATCGCAACCCTGCAAGCTCTTCAATTAGACCTCCAAAAAGACTGGGTTGCAGGCCTTGCGACAACCCCTGCACCACAAGCCCTATCTCACCACCATTCATCCTACAGGCGGCTGCCCACTCCCCTCCTGCCCCCCATACCCACGCTCAGATCCTGGATCGGGGCGAGCGGCTCGACCTGCTCGTGGAGCGCACAGACGACCTCGCCTCCTCCACCTTCACCTTCAAGCGGGAGGCGAGGAGGGTGCATGGCGCGCTGTGGTGGCGCAGCGTGCGCCTGCGCGTCTGCATCCTCGCTCTCTGCGCACTGTGCCTGTACGTCCTGCTGGCCGTGGTGTGCAGCCCGACCCTGCACTGCTGACGGCCGCGGATACCCTCGCGCGTGATCCTGTGCACGAACTCTCCTCCTCACTCCCCCTCGCTATCCTGTTGCGCTCATTGGGTGTTCATCAAGCTTTACAGTGTGTTGGATGGGGGAAGTGAGAGGGGACAGCGACTGGGCACACGGGGGTCTGCGCCATGCGGCGCACGCCCGTTGAGGCAGGGGTCGGAAGCAGCTCTGGGGCGTTTCAGCAATACACAAAACTGATGAGCGATGGTGGGAGAGGACCCGGGGGTCAAGCGGGTAGGGTACAGCAGGGGCCTTGACAGCGGACAAGGGGGGGTGGGGGGTGGGGGGTGTCTGATGTGACGCGGGCAAGATAAGCTGGTCACACCACCGTGACGATGGGGATGTGGACGGGCCCGCGGGCGAGGCTGCCTGCTCCCGCTGCATGGGCCTCCGCCAGCCGCTGCATTGCTGCGAAGTGCTGGCGGTACATGAGGCGCACCATGAAGGAATACGCGAGGCCGGCGACCAGGCCGGTCCACAGCGCCGACGCCAGGTTCATCTGCAGGATGACAGGAGGGGAGAGGTTGTATGGCAAACGACTGGGAGAACGTATCCGGTGCACCACGAAAGGAGAGACGTCCAAGCGCAGAGCAAGCGCCAGATAGGTCGTGCGCTTCTCAGAGCCAAATGTTCACTACCCGAGCCCTTTGAGGACTCCACCTCCCCTCCCCTGCGCCTCACGTCAAAGAAGAGGATAGAGACGATCATGGCCACCCATGTGACACGTACGCAGTCGAACACCAGGTCTGCATGGCTCGGCGCCAGCTCCACCATCTGCTGCGAGGCTGTGGCAGGACAAGGGGGAAGGGCGATCAGACAGGGCATGCTCCAGTATTAGGGACCAGGCTTTGACCATGCTCACACGTGAGAAAGGTGCAGCATAATGCGGCACTGGCAAGGTGAATGCGGCAGCTTAGACATCGGCGTCTCTTCATCCCCACTTCCTCAGGCACCTGCAGGTCTTGAACCCCACCCCCACCCCCCCACCCCTTCATAAACAAACCACAAACATGATGAAATGCCATACTCACAGTAGACGTCCTCCATGCCGGCATTGCCTTCTTCCTGCGGCGGCCTGGGGGGCAGCGCCGGCAGGTTCTTCACCTCGTGCTTGCACAGCTCGCAGATGCAGTCGCCCTTCACCTGGGCCCACTTGATGGCACACTCGCGGTGCCGCAGCGCCAGGTCGCCGCGGCACTGGCAGTCCAAAGTCATGGCTTCACCGTTCTGATGAAAGGAGGGAGAGAGAGAGCGGTTGAAGCAGCGCTTCAGGCAACCTTGCCATGCGATAAGGCACCCTTCAGGTGGCACCAGCACCTGCAGAGAGTGTACATGTGGCATCCCAATTCCTCCACACATGATTGGGCAACCCGGCAGCTGCAGAATCACTCACCCTGAATTCCTCGGAGGTCAGGGTTTCCAGGCAGATGAGGCAGACGGGGTCGGATCTTCGACCCATGCTGCCCTGGGACCCGATCCGATGAACCCCCTTGTCGCCCTTGCTGCGCTCGCCGCCCGGCCGGGACACCGACAACCTTGCGATATCCCCTGTGCTGCTGCTGCACTGCTCCTCCACCACCGTCAAGGTGGCTGGAGCTGTATCGCTGGAGGAGGGGGGGCCGCCCTCCGGAACGGGGGCCGGGACGGAGGGCGAGACCTCCTCGCGCCTCAGCACGCGACGCCACCATGACGACAGACTGCTTGCAACCCCGGGCTTGGCTCCGGCAGTCTCTTCCACCGGGGCCTGCCGCTCCGCGTCTGCGCGCCGGAGGAGCCTCACGGGAGTGTGAGCACGAGGCGTCACCCCCACGTTGTCCTCCACCCCAGGCGAACCGTGTCTCCCCAAGCTCCCACGGGAATGTGCTCACCCAGGAGAGGCTGTTCATCTCCGACTTGAGTCCGTGACTGGGCAGGGCTGTCCGACGCAGCAGCGATTTCCGGCATTATGCGCCTGTGACCTCAGTGAACCCCCACCTGTCAACGCCGGGTGGAGGAGACTGGGCGAGGCAAGAAGCTTCGGAGCGTCACCGTTGAGGTCGCTAGATAATTAGGAATGGTGAATGTCGGGCGGGGCGCGTCGCAATGGTGGCATGGGGAAGGTTCCGCGCTTCGGGGACGTACGGGGGAGGACCCCTTCAACCGGGTCGAATCGCGTTGTTACAAAATGGGGGAGGGTTGCTCAGTGAACAGGGGATAGGGCAATCAGGCAGTCTTCAACCATCCGGAATACATGGGGTGTCAACAACTATGGCCTCTACAATACTACTGGATCGGAAGGGAGCGGAGCACCCGACGGCAGCTTCCCTGGGCGTGGTGAGGGCTCCTGATGCGCGGGGCTGGCCACCTACCCCTCAACATCAAAGTGGCAAGGGCGGCGACCCCCTGCATGGACGGCCCACATCCTCAGCAGCATACGCTCGAAATCTGACACCCAGCGCCGCGTGTCAAACAGGGGGCTGGATCCCCCGAGCCCGGCACACCGCGGCTCGCAGGGCCAGCCGCTTGGGCGCATCCAGCGCCAGCTCCAGCGCCTGAATGGGTGAGGCGGGCGGGTGTGTGCTTGGGTGGGGGAGTGGGGGCTGGCGTCATTGCATGTACTCCTGGAGGCTGGTCTTGTGCTGGGGCAATCGCAGGCTTGTGTCGCCGGGATCCTTTTTCAGTGCCCCTGCTCCCCCGTCCCCCCGCCCGCTGCTCTCACCCGCGCCTCGTACTCTGCCATGGACCCGACGACCATGTCCGCCCCCAGGCCCGAGGCGCAGGCCAGGCTGGCGGCCACGCGGGACGCCATCCTCTCCAGCGGCAGCGTCAGCAGCGGGCACCCCGCCCAGAGCACGTCGCAGGCGGTGGTGTGCGCGTTGCAGGCGGGGGTGTCCAGGACCAGGTCCGCCAGCGCGCAGCGCGCGACGTGGGCGGGCTTTGGCGCCACGTCGGAGAAGACGAGGCGGGCGGGGTGCACGCCGCGGGCCGCCGCCTGCGCGCGCAGCCGCGGCTCGCCCGAGGCGGGGAAGCGCAGGAGCCAGAGGACGGTGCGAGGCGCGGCGCGCAGCACGCGGCACCACGCGTCCAGCACGCCCGGGTCGATCTTGTACAGCTGATTGGCGCAAGCCAGCACCACGCCGTCCTCGGGCAGGCCCAGCGCGGTGCGGGTGGGCGTCGGGGCGGCGCCGCGCAGCACGTCGCCGTGCGCCCGGCGGTGGTCGTTCACAAAGTAGGAGTGGGGCATGCGGGCCACGGCCTCGCCATAGCAGCCGAGCAGGTGGTCGGGCGTGACGACCTGCGTGTGTGTGGTGGGGGAAGATGAGGGTGTGGGTGGAGGGGTACTCACTGGTGTGTGCAGCAGCGGGCAGTGGGGCAGTGATGCATGCAATGGTGTATTGCACGGGCATCCAGAGGGGGCTGAACAGCCCAGTGCAGGCAGCAGCCTGCCATCGCGGGGGCGACGCTGCCTTGTCCGCCTGTACGAGTCAGAATCCCAGATTCACGCTCCCGCACAGCATCCACCTTGTCGGTGACGATGTAGTCCATCAGCCCCCGGCCCGTGGTGGCGGGGAAGCCCATGTAGGAGACGCCGATGGGAGCGGGGCGGAGCGCGAAGACCTCGCTGCGGGCACCGCGCGTGTACCCATTGAGGTTCACTGGGAAGAAAGGAGGGAGTGCGGGACGATGGCAGGAGGGACGGGGGTGCTGCGGCCGGCGTGCTGGGATGCAGGGGATGGCTGTGCTCTGCTTGAAGGAATGCATCGGGAGGGAGCCCAGTGACGCTCCGCCTTGCACACCCCATCCACCCACCCACCCACCGGCGATGTGGATGCCGTCCTCGGAGATGCGGCGCGCGATGCTCGGCGACGGCCACTTTGCGACGTCCAGGAAGTGGTCGGCGTCCGCGCGGATGCGAGCGCGCCATGGCGAACCGTCGTCGGCAGACAGGGCGTAGCAGAAGACCTCCACCAGCCTGGTTTGCAAGGGGAGGAGGCCATGGCTGGGGGCGGTGCAAGGTGGAGGGCTGGAGGCCGGGGGCAATCATCCACAGTGATCCCAGCCTGCCTGACAGACAGCACCCCAACAAGTCACCACATATCAAACCAACCACCTTCGGTCGTGCATCCCAAACACGGAGCCCATGAGGTGACTCAGCGGATGGTTGCCCAGGTCTGACGACACGTAGGCGATGCGTAGCCGCCGGCCAGGCGCCAGGGGCTCCCGCGCCGGGTGGGGCAGGGGCCCGACATTGAGGGCTGCCGCGGCCCTCAAGCAGTGCCCGGCGTAGGCGGAGGAGATGCGGAGGGCGAGGTCGGGGGAAAGCGGGTACGCCATGGCGTGGAAAGGCTGCACAGAGGGCAGGCACCCGGCGGCCAGCTCCTCTTCCGTGATGGCGATCAACCTGCATGCAGAGGTTGTAAGATCAAAATCTCAGTGCTACATTTGTGTTTGTGGTAGCTTTGGTAGCATGCAGGGCAGTGGGAGAGATACCATGCATTGCAAATACTCTAACGAGTCCGCCAAGCTCAGCATGCTCGTGGCCCCTGCCGGCACATCAAAGGAGACAGCACTTTGCTCGTCACCTCTGGAAGATGCTGGGTCGGTCGTGCCAGTCGCACACACACTGCATGGAGTGCACGAGGTTGGCAAAGGCGTCTGGGAAGTCGGGCCGCAGCGCCAGCGCCTGGCGGTAGGCTGCGATGGCCTCCTCATGCTGATCTGGTGCATGCAAGACAGCATGGGATAGGAGTGGGTGGTGGGTTGTAGGGCTTAGAACGGTGATAGTCGCCTCCATCATCTGTTGTGAACGTTATGTGATCAAACATAGCAAGCATAACAACACATCCATGTACAGTCCAACACCATCTGTCCCTTGTCAGGGAACCCGCTCCACGCACTGTTGTCCTTCAGGGCTGCAGCGAGGTTGGCATGGCCCTCAGCCTCCCCCGGCTGCAAGGCCACGGCGTTTTGATAGCACATGATGCCCTCCCTGGCCCTGCCCACCAGCTTCAGCATGCTCGCTAGGTTGCTGTACACCACGCTCTGGGGATCGTGGATGGGGAGAGGTCAAGACAAACCCTGAGGCATCACCCGGTGGGGTGGATTGGACACGGTGCAACCGAGCAATGCGCGGTTTGCCACCCGCACTGGTGCCACAGCGAGCCCGCCATGCACACAACGGGGAGGCCACACGACACAACACCACAACCACCGCTGACCTGACGTCGCGCGTGGGTGTGGGTGCCCAGACCCTGGGCCTCGGCCTGGGCGGCCTCCGAGATGAGGAGATGGAGGCAGGCCACATACTGTGCCACGGCCTCCTCCCCGCGCCCCGCCTCCCTCAGGGCGTTGCCCAGGTCGTTCCGCTCCTCTGAGGACAGAGGCCGCTGGCTGGCACCCAAGTGATACGCCTGCACCGCACCCGCCTCCACTTCGCTGTCCTGCTGGCAGCGGCGTGCTGCAACGGCTGGCGCCAGGGAAGAAGAGGGTGGGAAGGCCGCGGCACCCGGGGCTGTGGCAAGTGATGGGTCCCCCAGGTGCCGGTTTCCGGAGGCCCACTGGCTGAGCTGCCGGGAATGCAAGGTCCCATCAGATACACCCGACTCGGGAAGCATGGCAGCCTCGTGAACTCGACCAGCTTCTCGGCGATCCCGACGCTGCAGCACGGTGGCCAGACTGGTCTGGACGGCGACGGTGGTGGGCCTCAGGCGCAGGGCAGACTGCAGTACCGGGGGCGAGGGGACCACGGATGCGTTTGTTACAGGGTTTGTGAATTTCAACAGGCACGCAATCAAGGGCACATAAGAAGTCAGAATCGCACCACCCACCTTGGCCGACCAAAACCTTCACAACCCATGCTCGATGGGCCCTCCACCCAGAGTGCGCCCCAGTACGCTCCCATTCACCAGACCTGGCCACGCCCACCTGGTAGTACATGATTGCGAGGTCCAGCTGGCCCAGCCGACTCAGCCCACTGGCGAGGTTGGCCTGAGCCTCCGGGAGCGAGGGGTCCAGTACCACAGCCGCGTCGTTGTAGGCCACCGACTTGGCATACTGGCCGAGCTCAAAGTACGCCACGGCGGTGAGCAGCAGGAGGTCGATCTGGTAGCGCCTGTGGTGCGACTGGGGCGCCGACACGCAAAGGAGAGACTGGCCGATCATGCAGTGCTCCAGGCAGGCCTCATAGTTGCCGCTTGTGTATGCCTGGCTGGCCTTGAGCACCATATCCTGGAGGGAAGCATCTTGGCCAGTCGATTTCCCCTGGCACCTGGGGGCCTGCCAGGCTGTGACCATCCTGCCTCCCGACCGCGCTCCGTGCTCTCCCGGTCCGGCCGAAACCCCGTTGGCGTCGTTAACGCCGGGAGCTACGGCGCCCACCGATTGCGGGTCGATCCTGTAATGCTATTTATATTCTAGCGGTGTGATATCGAGGCAACTGGCATGGCCAGCATATCTCCTTACCGTGTCGGGAGGGAACCGTCCTCAGTGAGGTCCTCGGGGTGCCGAGGGCAATCGAGAGACTACCAGCGAGACCATACTGGTGAAAGGCAGAGCTGAAAAAAGGTGTACTGTTCGATGTTGGACCGTCCTTCGAATCGGCATGGAGGCGCAAGAAGTCACAGGTCGCTTTGAGGAAGGTGTGGAATCTCGACGATGGGCTCTGTCCTTCGTGAACGTGATGGGCGCAGGCAGGTCTGTCCTATTTGACAATCATCATATTACATTTTCATACCCCGGATGACATTGCAAGCATGCAGTTTGGGGCACGACTTCCGAGGTTCATTAAATACACTGAGTGCGGTCTTACCACAACACCGCTCAAGTTCAGTCACCGAAAGTCGAGGCGGTGAATCACCTTCAAATACCGCAATGGCAAGATCGGAAGTAAATAGCAGGTACACAGTGCTCCTTCACGTTACATGGTGCCCAGCAGCTTCGGCACCGACAGACTTTGAGCGCGGGAAGGGAACCGAATGAAGATCCGCTGTAGATCAATCGCGTGCTGCACGCACTTAACGCTGCACAGAGTACGGGGCTGGATCAGACAACTCGGTCCCAATCAATATGTCGCTGACCGTACCCTTTGCAGCCTGCAGCCCTCGGGCTGCACCATCGCTCCGGTCCACATTCCGTGAAGGGGCCGCACTCCAGGTTCGGACTGCACCGCCCCGGACCCGGCCCGCAGCACGCACAGGCCTGAAAATCTATCAGTTTGGATTTTTGAAGAAATTGGGTCTGGAAAAGCCCGAGTTCCTCCCTGATTTCGGGGCTCCCAAGCGGAAGTTGCTGCTGGAGGGCTTCTTCAGCAGCATCAACCAGGATGTGCTCGCCAACACCCTCTCGGATGACTTCAAGTTCTCCGACAGGGACAGGGTGTACACCAAGGATGGTGAGGTGGGGAGTGGGAGTGCCTGCTGTTGTACCAAACGCAATGCCGTCATGGCACCAAGCGCCACCCAGGAACGCCCGTTCAACCCCTTCTCATCACACACCGTGCTCCATCCCCGCTCCAGAGTTCGCCCAGGTGCTAAAAAGCGTGAAGGCTGCCATCCCCGACTTTCAGTGGCATGCCAGCACGGACGGCCTGGCAGACAAGAAGGACAAGAAGGCGCGGGTGGAGGTGCGCATCACCGGGACGCACACAGGCGCGCCCCTCTCCTTCCCCGGCCTCAAGGAAGTCCCCTCCAGTGGGAAGAAGGTGGACCTGCCCAGTGCAAAGTACCTCGTCTCTGTGGAGGAGGGCAGAATCACGAGCATCGAGGTGCGCTGAGCTGCCTGGATAGGCTCGGCTGGGAGCACATGGCTTTTGCACCGTCTTGCAGGGTCTGCGTTTAAGGACATGCGGGGTTGGTGTTTGGTCTGGAGCATTATAGAGTGCTATTTTGCACTGCTTGAGTCCTGGGCTTCACTCCAACTGCAGGCTGACAGGGAGTCTGGCTCCTCCCTCCTGAGTCTGTATGCTGCCGTGGGTGGTGTGGCCCAAGTGGCGTCGTGATCATGTTGAGAGCTTGAGGAGTAGCCTTCAGGCATGGGGCAGTAGCAGACCTGGGGATCTGGGCCGGTGGTTGAGTCCTATCAGAGGCATGCTGTCACGCTCGATTTTGAGCAGCTTGCTGCGAAACTCCCTCATGTGAAGCCCCAGAGTTATTTCAGACAGTGTGGTCTGTCGAGAATGATGAAGAGTCCGTGCTGTATCAATAATGCTCTTGTTCTTGAGTTGTAAATATCAATAGGTTCTGAGTGTGGTAGGAGTTTAGAAGAACTGTCAGGTCAATGGCCATGAGTCACAGAATACAGACCGTATGGATGCTAGGGGTATTCAATCCACCTTGAAGTGGTGAACGAGGGTGTGCAGACTGATCATCGGATGCAACCCTCCCGCTGCTGCACTGTTTGGGAAGGTGCCAGGGTATATGTTGCGCGGTACTGCAAGTGCGGTACCTCCCGAACCCCGCGCAGCCACAGTCTCTGGCGAGTTTTGATGGCCGAGGCAAACAGGCGCTCCCCTTTCCGGCGCAGACCGCTTAGAGGATACAGCTGCGGTCAAGATGGTGAGCCCTCAGGGCGGGGACCTCGGAGGGCAACAGGGGAGGATGCCCGTGGCGCCCCGTCACCAGCCTTGCGAGCCTGACGAACAGGCGCACCGCCTGTGACGATCAGAGGGTGCATGACCTTCTAAATTACAGGAATTGAATGGGCTCCATGTCTCGCCAGGAGCTCACATGCCTCTGGCTACCCCCCCGACCATCGGAGCAGGTGAACGTGCCGAAGACCAAGAAGGCCTACTGCAAGGGCAAGGAGTGCAAGAAGCACACCCTGCACAAGGTCACCCAGTACAAGACTGGAAAGGCCAGCCTGTACGCACAGGGTGAGCGAGGCGTCCTGCCTGGGAGATTGCCGGATCCTGGGCTCGATGCCGTGCTCGACGAGTAGCCTCTGAACCACTCCCTGCCGAGCCCTTGCAGGAAAGAGGCGTTACGACCGCAAGCAGTCCGGTTACGGTGGTCAGACCAAGCCTGTCTTCCACAAGAAGGTATGTTGGATGATCATGAGGTGACATTTTCGGCGAGGAACTGCCCTGGGATATTCTATGCATGCAGAGGTCCAACCTTGTCTGGGAGCTGACACTGCTGTCGTGTGTCTAGCCCTCAGGCCAAGACCACTAGGAAGATTGTGCTGCGCCTGCAGTGCCAGCAGTGCAAGACCCAGCACATGCACGCCATCAAGGTATACAGTTGGTTGCATGCGGAGGTGGGACATGGAGCGACAATGTGAATTGCAACCTAGGTTATGAGATTGCTCGGCTGCGATGCCACAGCCGGCATACTCCACCGAGCCACTCAGTGCAAGCAATCCCCCCCTGTATCCTTCTGTCGCTTGCAGCGCTGCAAACACTTCGAGATCGGCGGAGAGAAGAAGACCAAGGGCGGTCTGTACTGATCGTCTTGGAGCCTCCTGCTCTGTTTGCCTGGTTGGCTGCGGCTGTGGTGTAAAGGACATCATACACTTGCTGCTGACACGGATGTGGTGGCGTAGGAGTGGACAGGGGTGGGCAGCCCGGGAGGGGAAGTGCGTGGTGGGCCCGATCTGGAGCCTGTACTGGTTTCTTCAAGCATGCAGCACCAAATCTCACAGGACTTTATGTCCATAGGCCTTTTACAGGACTGAGGCTGTGGGCTGTCGGTCTGCTTTGCCCCTGCCATGCAACCACTCAAGTGGAAATGTGCACCCAGGGAGTGCGATCGCACTCTGCGAGCCTTACACTCATGGTTGCATCAAGGGTGGGATTTCTCCCCTCAGTGTGCGCAAGGGGTGACATTGAGTCCAGCCCCCCTGCGCACGACGTGCCACCCATGCGTCAGGCCCTGTCCATGAGAGGGGGCTGTTCAGAACACTCAAAAACTCAGACCAGAGAATTCATGTGCATGGTTGAAAAGGATGACGAGCATGACTCGCGTGGCGCCCGCCATCACCCAGCCTTCTGCCCCTCCACACCCGGACACCCCGCGCATCAGACATAGAACATGGCCTTCTGGAGGCGGGGGTTGATGGACATGAACTCGACGGTGCCGCCGCCCCCGCCCGAGGCGGAGCTGGCGGTGTCGGAGCCGCCCTCCCCGCGCAGCATGAGCCTGCCCCTGAAGGCGGCCAGGTGCGCATACTGCGCAGGCGGGCAGACACTGATGGAGCGGGTGCAGCGGCAGAAGAGGTAGCAGAGGTGGTAGGTGAGCAGCTGCATGCCGTCCGCGCCAAACTTGTTCTCGTCCACCAGCACCGAGTAGTGAGCCGGCTTGGAGGTCCCCTGGATGCCAGAGTGGGAGTTGAGGTAGAAGGAGAAGTCGTGGGGGTGGGCGATGTCGTTGTCCACCACCGTGCCTGATGGAGTGGTGACGGGATGGGGGTGGGATCGGGGGGAGGTGAGTCGAGTCATTTCAGGGAAAGAGGGAGGGAGGACGTGGTGATGACGGGGCCTGCAACCGTGTACCTCGTGCTCTCAATGCCCCCATACGGCCTGGCCTGAGTTTCACGCGGGCATCAGGTGTGGTCTGCACCCCCATTACCCCTTCCGGTCCCCCAGCTCAACATCAATGACCCCCCTCCCCCCCCTCCACCCCCCCCGCCCGCACACACACCCCTGGCAGGACGTTTCCGGAGCGGTCGCGGTTGCTCTGGTCGGTGGACTTTGGGAAGAAGCGTGTGTGGTGCCGCTTCTGCACGATGACAAAGGTGATGGGAGGCCGGTATTCAGCCCCCGCATCGCCCATCTCCGCGCAGGCCTCCAGCAGCGCGCTGTACTCCTTGTAGTACACCTCCTAGAAACTGGCTCTCCGACACGCCATCGCGGTAGAAGAGCAGCGACTCGGGGCGCATGCCGCGCGTCGCGCCGTAAAACTCCAGCAACAGGCTCTTGACCATGGCCTTGAGCTCGGCCACGATCTCCTGGCCGCCGCGCTGCATGGTCACGCGCGCCGCGTAGCGCGTGGCGGTGGCGTCCATGCTGCCCACCACCGCGGCGATGGAGGGGCCGCCCTCGCCGGGGCGCGGGTGCGTCACGTCGGCGCCCAGGATCATGAAGGGCCGGCGCGCGCCCAGGACGGGGAGGCGCTCCACGTCGCCCAGGCGCGTGTTGCAGCCACCCAGCTTGGCGTTCACCTTCATGGCCACGTTGGCGCAGTACTGGGGGCGCCCGCGCGCGGGGCAGCCAATGCCCGCCTTGCGCGACACAATGCACTGCGTGGGCAGGCCCAGCATGCTGTCGCTGGCCTGCTTCACCTCGCGGTACAGCGCAGCACCTAGGTGGATGAATGGGTGGGTGGGCGTATACATGCGGGTCATGTGAGGAGTGGGGAGTTGCTTCAAGCACAGTTCTGAGCATATCCTGGCGGAGTTTCAGGACCCCACGCTGCGTTTGCAGAGTTCTCCCCCCCTTCCCCCCCCGGCATTTACCCCCTTCATAACACCCTCTAGCAGCAAACCCGCAGAGCGCATCCTCCCCCTTTCCCCCCCCAAATAACACCTGTGTCCGGCAGGACAACCAGGACCAGCGCGGCGGGGGCGCCAAAGGCGGCCTGGGCCCTGGCCTTGGCCTCCGTCACCGCCGAGTAGACGGTCGCGTTGCGGTCGGGGTAGACGACGGGGGGGAACTCGCGGGGCGTGGTCACGCCGCACTTGTTCAGCATGTCCACGAACTCGGCCATGAAGGTGGGCCCGTGCTGGCCGCGCGCCGCCTCCAGATCTTCGGCCGCGAAGCGCTGGTTGGCGAAGCAGACTACGGCCCAGGAGGGCAGGCTGGAGCCATTGAGGAATCGCACGTCGCGCAGGTTCCAGGAGCCGCCGCCCTTGGGGTCGTAGCGGCCGGGCGAGCCATAAGCGAGCATGGGGTTGGGCAGCACGCGTGCGCCCACCTCCACGGTACGCGAGGAGATGGACAGGCCGAAGGCGCGGGCAGTGGGGTCGTCCGGGAAGGCGGCCTGGCGGTTGACGGCGTGGTCGATGGCGGCCAGGCGGTCGCCCGGGCGCTGGGCCGCAATCTTGATGATCTCCGACGTCTGCGCCTCGTCCAGGCGCATCAGGCGCTGGCGCGGTGCCACGCGGCACAGCTCCATGGGCAGCAGCACGGTGCCGTTGCCGACGGCGACGCAGGGCATGTCGCGGTTGGTCAGGCGCACGCCGTACTGGGCCTCCAGGTAGTCGGCGACGCTGACCTGGCGTCCCTCCCGCTCAAAGGTCTCCTGGAAGGGGCTGCCCCGGGACAGGTGGCGGATGGCCTTGGTCATGCCTGTGTGGCTGGTCACCACCTTGACGCCCCGCAGGTCGCGGTTCAGGCGGCGCCGCGCGGCGTCGGGCAGCGGCCCCGCCACGTGCCCCACCTTGTCGGCCACCAGCTCCAGCAGCGGCTTCTCCTCCAGCACCGCGGTGGCGGCCATGTCCACGTTCAGGGCCAGCCCGGTCTGGCAGGGACGCAGGGACTGCTGGTAGCCCAGCCAGACCTCCGCGCCGCCGCCCAGCGAGCGCGTGCCGGGGCCGCGGAAGAACACGCCGCGCGCCACGGGCAGCGACCGATCGGCCATGGCCATGCGGTGCTTCAGCACGATGTCCAGGCACTGCAGCGCGTGGTAGGCGTACTCCTCCTCGTCGCGCTGGCCGGAGATGAAGCGGTGCAGCGCCGCGACAGACACGATGGCCGCGCGGCGGATGACCACCGCCAGACGCCGCGGCTTGTCCTCGCCCGCCGGCGCGGCCTCCACCTCCAGGCGCAGGCCCTCTGCGGGGACGAGGCTGGTCACGGGCGCGTACATGACCTTGCGCCCGTCGAAGGCCCAGGAGCCGGCGGGCCAGGCCCGGGCGACCGCCACTGCGCCCATGGCCGCGCGGCACACGTTGGCCGGCAGCGGCTTGCCGTCCTCGCCCGCGCTGCCGCGCGGCGGCCGCGCCGGCCGCGGCGGCGCGCCGGGCTCGGGCTCGCGCGGCACGCTGCGCACGTCCACGTCGTACTGGTACGCCTCCTCCAGCGTGCTCTGCACGCGGAACCAGTTGGCCACCACCGTCACGGGGCGCCCAGCCTGGCCCAGCCCCGGGCGCAGCGCGTGTGCGGGCTGGTAGGTCAGTCGCGCCAGCTCCTCCGCGGGCGTGGGCGGCGGCAGTTCGTGCAGCCGGATCAGCGCACCGCCATCGGGCACGGGTGTGGTGGGGTTGGCGGGGCGGTCGAAGCCGCCGCCGCCAAAGCCGCCGCCGCCAAAGCCGCCGCGGCCCCCGCTGTCGCGGCCGCCGAACCCCCCGCGGCCACCGCCGTCGCGGCCGCCAAATCTGCCGCGGCCACCGCCCTCGCGGCCGCCGTAGCC